GAACCATGAGAGACTATGGACTCCGAGAAACAAACAGGGTTTTAGAGGGAAAGGGGGATTGGTTAGCCAGGTTGTGGGTATTAAGGAGGGCACATACTGCATGGAGCACTGGGTGTTACATGAAAACAATGGATCGTGGATCACCACATCAAAAACTAATGATGTATTGTATGGTGACTAACATAACGTAATAAAATTTTTTTAAAAAAGAAAAGATTTTAAATTATGGGTTCAAATTTAAAAAAGCAAACAAAAACAAAACAAAAAAATAAATGTACACTCCCTTTTGCACGAAGAGTCTTTGTGCCTCCAAAGAGTGACACGGAGGGAGGCAGGTTTTGTTTCAACGTGGAGAACTCAAAAGACAGGCTGTGAGCACACAGGACCTGCTTTCTTACCGGGCAGTAAGTTTGACTCCCCTGCAGGCGTTCAAGTGGTAAAGGAAACTCGAGGGGACAGAAAACTTGACCACCTTTGAGCCCTCTCCTACATCTGAGATTCAAGGGTCTATGAAGACCAGAGAAGCTGGGCTGATTGATCAAACAGCAGGGTTAGGGAGCACAGAAATTGGAAGCACTGCCCCAGGATGGGTTCTTCTTGAGTAAAAAGCGCTAGCCAGCCACCTGCCCCCCCACCACACACACACCCCTGCTGAGCTAAAGGCTTACCTGACCATAATAGTCCTGCACTTGGGTGGTGCTTACTGGGGTCATTCTCATCCAAACGTTCTTCAGCGATCAACTGGGTTTACCCTCCCCTCCAGGACCCCCGATGTAGCTCGTGTGTAGTGGGGCTAGGATTTGAACCCTGAAAAGCTGGGTCCATGGGCCATGCTCTTGATTACTGCACCAGCCTGCCCCTAGACCATCAGAATACAGTCTATTACTTTCCTAGGGTTGTTGGAACAAAGCACCAAAAACTAGGAGACTTAAAATAACAGAAATTTATTCTGGAGGCCAGAATCCCGAAATGAAGGTGTCCGCAGGGCCACATTGCCTCCACAGCCTCCGGGGGAGGGTCCCTCCTTGCAACTCCAGCTCTGGTGGCCCCAGATGCTCCCTGGCTTATGAGTGCATATTACTCCAGTCTCTGCCTCCCCTCTGTACCTCTCTTCTTTATAAATCATCAGTCGCATTGGATTAAGGCCCCCCCTGGTCCAGTATGACCTCATCTTAACTCGATTGCATCTGCAAAGACTCTGTATCCAAACACCATCTCATTCCCGGATACCAGAGGTTAGGATTTCAGTATATCTTTTGGGAACACAATTCAACCCACAGCCTGTATAGAGCAGACAAGAAGCAGCCAGAAGTGCTGACTCAGGTTGGCGGTGATGTTCTAGGAAAAATGACCAAAGCAGATTGTCCTTACTGCTCTGCCTGCCCCATTTCTGTTTACTCTGTGATGCCACAGGATCCTCCCCACGGCCCCTGTGATTCCTTCAGTGTGGCCAATGAAAGCCTTTTCTGGGACTGTGCATGCATTCCGTCCAGATGCACACAGGTCTTGCTTCTCCAACGGAGGGCAGGAATACTGCCTTATCACGGAGCTAGGGGGTTGCCAGCTTTAAAGTCAATGAGAATCCAGCCACACACAGGAGTCTGGCCATGAAGGAACGGAGCTTAGGTTTGGCTGTTTCACCTGACTCCTGTCCTGTCTGCTTATGTCCTCAAACCATCCACCTCCCTACACACTGACTAAACACATCTCTTTTAAACTTATAGAAAGTAACTTTCCTGGCACCCAGGGATGCACAATATTTGGGGCCATAGTCTCTCTCTGCTCAAAAACAAATGAGATCACTGAAGTGTACCGCGGGCATTTTTTTGAGACCATGTTTATAATATTCATGAATATGGAAATGAGTAGCCATCTCCCAGAATCCCTCACGCAAAGAACTGGCACTCTCTTTGCTGTAGGTGGAACCGTTTCTCTTGCAGTTTCGAAGAAAAAAAAAAAAAAAATCCTACCCAGAAGAAAGAACATAGTCTATGGTCTCAAAAGGAAAGTTTATCTGCATAGCTCAAGTACTAAACTCTTCCATACTAGGTTAAAGTGTTAGATAGTATTCTAAAATATCCCATTTGTAAAAGAGCGAATGTCTCGTTACGGTGTAAGGGTTTGAATCCCAATGGTAGTGTTCATATAGCAGTAAGTACAGGACAACCTCACAGCTTCTGTTGAATGTCTGCATTGTGCCAGCCAATGTTCTGCGGATTTACGGTATCGCGTATTAATCGCAATCCTTAGAAGAGCTTCTGAATTAGAGGAGTTTACTCCCTTTACATAGGTTAGGAGGAGGCTCCGATTGGGGAGAGTATGGAAGTGACTTATACTTCCGCCAGCAACGCAGGAAGATGGAAACTGCTGGATTGGGAAATGCTTTTGTATCAAAGGCACAAAAGTGAAATGGCAATGCTCATGTCACTTGTTGAAAACCAGCTCTGGACTCTTAGGATGGTAAGACAGCGGTTTGTGTGAATTCTCCAAATGCTATCATTAAAACATTAGTGATGAAAGTCACCAAAAATTGCCAATTACCCTAATAATATTTATTTAAATTTACTAAATTTACTGCCAATTACCCTAACAGCATATGGTGATTTCTATATATACAAGTGGAAAAATAGCTAGTAAACGCACAACTGAGTCAGCCTGGAGATAACAGTTTCCATTGACATTTTCTTTTATTTTTATTCTCTATATTTTGAGTAATTATGAAAATTAGCTAATAAATTATGAACCTTTAGAATAAAGAGTCTGTTATTCCTACTTAAGCCAAGAAATGAATTGTGAGCGGTTTCCCTTGTGATTGCCTATTTACAAAAATATATTGTCTAATCCCTTTTATTTTGTGCCCATTTAAAAAGCTGCTAGAAGAAAGGTCTTTGACATTTTTTTTGCCTCCCATTTCTTCAGACCGTGCATTTAAATGTCACGTGCTGTTATTTTCCGCTCTCAGGATGGGATAACCCAAGATCAGTGAGCCAAGGAGAGGAAGAGGAAGGCTACTGGGGCTTCCTGGAAAACACAAACACAAAAACAAAACGCTTCTTCCTTTTGCCGAAAGAGAAGTATTCAGGGGTGAAAGGTCTTTCCTAGTTTGGTCCCTTCTTCCCGCTTTAAATGGGGCAGTTTGAGGCTGCGTTCCTTGCATCGTGGGGGCCTTCTCGGAACAGCGAGGTGACAAGCCTGGAGGGAAAAGTCACGGGAGATGGGGGGGGGGGATGGCAGAATGGAAATGTGTACCCTCAGGACATCCTTAGGGCGCGTGATCAGAGCCGGAATCGTCTCCAGTTATGTGACGCGATGACAGTAAGGACAGCAGAGGTCGTTGCCGGTGGCTATTCTGTTTCTTGGTCTGAAAACGCAATTCACTAATCTGGGCATGCGACTGTCCTCAAAGTCCAAGGCAATAACGGAGTGTTTTCCAAAGGCTTCCTTCCACGAAAGTGTCCCGAAAGAGCGCAGGGCGGGGGCGGGGTGTTCCGGCTGAGGGGCAGAGCTGAGCTGCCAGACTCAGGCAGAGCAGGCGTTCGGATTCCCTTAGTCTGTCTTAAAAATGCGTGTCGATTTGCACGCTCCTCTACTCAGTGCTCTTGGCCGGTGGGTAAGCTTTGCCCAGCACCCGCCTGCTGACGTGGAGAACAGACGGGGCGGAGGAGGGGCACCGCCACGGGCTGGCGGGGAGCCGGCCTCCACGTGCTCCGAGGAGGGGGTACCGCCCCCCCCCACGGCCCCCGCGTCAAGTCGACCTGACCGCGCCGCCGCCTGCCTGGCCCGGCCGGCAGCTGCACCGCGCTCCCTGAGCTGCCCACGGGGGCGCAGGTAAGGCGCCTTCTGCGGGGGGTCCTCTGAACTGGGCTCTACCCTCAGCGTCTCCGAGTCTTTATTTCGGACGGCGAACAGGAGGCACAGGTGCAATGAAACGATGTTCATCACTTCCCGTGAACTCCTCGTTGCTAACCAGCTTCAGAACCTCCGCAGTCAGCCTCCGTCAGCCAGCGCGGACTGAGACCTGCCGCGCGCCCCCGCCGCCCCGCGCGCCCCCGCCGCCCGCGCGCCCCCGCCGCCCCGCGCGCCCCCGCCGCCCGCGCGCCCCCGCCGCCTCTCTGGTCAGGCCCCCGCCCCGCCCGACCCCGCCCCCTCTCTGGTCAGGCCCCCGCCCCGCGCGCCCCCGCCGCCCCGCGCGCCCCCGCCGCCCGCGCGCCCCCGCCGCCCGCGCGCCCCCGCCGCCTCTCTGGTCAGGCCCCCGCCCCGCCCGACCCCGCCCCCTCTCTGGTCAGGCCCCCGCCCCGCGCGCCCCCGCACACCCCCCCGCGCACGCCCCCACCCTCGCCAACATTCCCGCGCGCTCTCGCCGCGTCTCCCGTCGCCATCAACCTCCCGAGCCCCAGGCTGATCCCCGCTGCCCAGATCCTCACCAGCCACCGCCCCGCCTCCGGCGCGCCCCACGCACGCACGCACGCACGCACGCACGGCGCGGGCCCGAGCCCGTAAGCAGCGCGCATGCGCACATCGGGCCCCGCGCTTTTCGGAGGCTACAGGTAGGCTGGGAGGCGGGGAAGCGCGGGAGGGCCCGGGCCGGGACCGTGCTGGGTCGGGATGGGGGCCAGGGGCCAGGCCGGGGGCGTGCGGAGGAGCCTGGCCCCGGCCAGGGTGCTGCGGAGCGAGCGGGTGGGCGGGAGGGAGCGGGGGTCGCGGAGGGCCCGGGGGCAGGGGCGGGCAGAGGCAGCGCGGGGGGCCGGGCGGCCGGGCAGGGGTCTCCGCGGCCCGCTGAGGGAAGGCGGGCGGTTTGGAGCAGGCTCTCGCAGGGTTCGTGCCCGCGGCGCCCGCCGGTTCGGGGAGGTGGTCTCCTGGGGGCGGGCTGCTGCGGCGGCCGTGCACCCACCCCCGTGGAGGGGTCCTTGCGAGGACTGGGGACGCCTGACGCTTGTTCTAGGATTTTCTAAGTGCTGAGGCCTGTGGTGAGTGCTTTGCAGAACTTTCAGCCCCTGGGAGCTGAGTCCTGTAACTGTGCTCCTGACGCACAACTTCGGGAACTGTGCTGGGGTCCTGGCTGGTGGGCGGGTCCTGAGGCCGGTCTGCTTCTGGGAGTTAGAAATTCCTACAGAGGGCTGCCGGCTCGGTGTCTGGCAGGGTTTTAGGAGTTTTTATTGCAGCGGATACCCTGTTCTAGATACTGGGAGAGGATAGATGTAATAGAAAACGGGTCCTGCTTGCAGAAGCCAACTGTCCAGTTAGATTCCACATTCTCACAATAAGCAGAAAATTATCAAAATAATAATAAAAAAAAGATTGAAATGCAGTTCATATGTGTTAACGGGCCGCAAATTTTAGGTGGAAGAAATGCCGTATGAAAGTGACTGATGGTAATGGGGACAGTGGCCGTGTCCTTGGCCAGGGCTGGCCACACAGGTGTTAGCCTGTCCGTGTCCACATTTGCGGGGTAAATGATTGAGTCGACAGGAAGTAGACTTGGGAGGTGAATTTCCAAGAAAAGGATGAAGGTGGAGAGGAAAGGAGGGTGTCTTGGGAACAGTGACAGAGCACTGAGCTGTTGGAGGAATCCCAGGATTGCAGGTGACAAAGGGGGATGAAGCCATGCAGAGGAAGAGGGTGTTCCTCCTGATAAGAAAGGTGATAAATGTTTTCCAAGTCACCTCTCAGTTCCTCACTTCCAGCTTTGCCTGAAAGTCTTTTTTTTTTTTTTAAGATTTTATTTATTTATTTGAGAGAGAGAATGAGAGAGAGAGAGAGCATGAGAGGGAGGAGGGTCAGAGGATGAAGCAGACTCCCCACCGAGCCGGGAGCCCGATGCGGGACTCGATCCCGGGACTCCAGGATCATGACCTGAGCCAAAGGCAGTCGCTTAACCACCTGAGCCACCCAGGCGCCCTGCCTGAAAGAGTCTTAAAAGCTAAAATGGTCGAGTGGAAAGAGAGATGAGGGGCTTGTCAGAAGTCAGTTCTACCTTTGACTAGTTTAATTTTAGTTTTATTGCAGAAGCAAATTAGAATCTCACTGGGCCTTTCGTATTTGTAGCGTCTTAAGTGAGACACGGCTGTATTAACCTTTGTCCTAAAAGAACCTACAGATTATTAAGCTATATTTATAGGCATTTTGGGAGGTAGATTTAAAATACAGGAGTTCTTGGTTTTTACAACACTCCTTTATTGCAATACTCCTAGGAAACTTAGACGTTTTCTTACACATTTTTCTTGTGGCTGGAGTGATAAATTCCACACATCTAGCAATATGATTACAGTCACCAATAATCCTGGTAAAATAATTTGACTGTAAGGAGGCTTATAAAAATAACTTGAGAGAAGAATCCTAAAGTAAAAGCACTTTACTAGCACACTGTTTAGACTTAGAGTGTTTATACTTTAGCAGACTTGTTCTCCTATTTCATTTACAAGGTCAGTTTCACTTTTTAATACTTCACGTGAAATTGGAAAATTGTGAGAATCTGGGGCATCCTGTTTTCGGTGCTCATTGATGAGGAAGTCCTTAAAAACATTTGATAATGTGGCAGTTGTTGAGGACTTTGATCCGTGCTGATGTGACCTTCGGGGGCGGCATCCAGGAGCGGCTCATGTGCGGTGACTTGCCCTTTTCCTGTGTGAACGCGCCCGAGTGTGGATCCCGGCCCTGTTGCTTGCTGGCTCTGTGATCTCCGGTGAGCTCCCAGCCTTAGTTTGCACATTTGTGTAACAGGCATGAGAATGGTGCTTTTCACAATATTTGCATACTCATTATTTGACTTGATTCTTGTGATGATTTCTCTCATTTTACAGATCAAACTGAGGGCCCAGCGATAGAGGCTTGGCAGAGATCATTCATCTGGTTTTTCTTAGAGACGGAGCTGAACCCCCGGGCTTGGTATGTTCTGCTTTGTCTGTAGTTCCTTTGCTCTAACGTGTTGCCTTTCTTTTGCTGATTAATTTGAAACCCTTTCCATCTAAGCCTTAGCAATGTTTTCCCCATTTGCAGGGAAAATGATATAACTCAAACCATTTAACCTATAACAAAGCATTATTAATTAAGTCTTTATCTTGAATGCCTGAAATCTGTGCTTACCTAGCTATTTCTGGTATAAGTGTTCTATTCTTATATGTGAGCAGTGCAGTATACCTTCCTTCAGATGAGCAGAGATTTAAAAAATATGCTTACAATATTATATCTTTGTTTCTTTCTTCTTGGTACTGACTGTTTTTCATTTTTGTCATTTGTTGGAGAACCTCCAGCATGCAGACCTCCAGCTCCAGGTCTGTGCACCTGAGTGAATGGCAGAAGAATTACTTTGCAATTACATCGGGCATATGTACCCCAGGACAGAAGGCAGATGCGTACCGAGCACAGATATTACGCGTTCAGTATGCATGGGCAAACGCTGAGCTCTCCCAAGTCTGCGCCACCAAACTGTTCAGAAAATACGCAGAGAAATATTCTGCAGTTATTGATTCTGACAATGTTGAGACTGGCTTGAATAACTACGCAGAAAGCATTTTAACTTTAGCAAGATCTCAGCAGACTGACAGTGACAAGTGGCAGTCTGGACTGTCAATAAATAATGTTTTCATAATGAGTAATGTACAGGAGATGATGCAAGCTGGCAAAAAATCCAGAGACTCTCTGTTGGCACCTGCTGATGCCTCGGTAGTAATCCATAAAGAGGCTGTTGTCCTCGAGCCTTCTAAACTTAGTGTTTGTGGGGGTTCTGGGGAGAGTGGCCCATTAACTAATGCACCTCCTGGTACGAATAGGACCCAAGACATCCCAGAGAGCAGTCCTTCGAAGTGCCCTCAGGATGCCCAGCCACCTGTCCTGACTAACACCAGAAAGACCTGTCCTTCATCCTTAACACTGTTTGGTGACTTTGCCACTGCAAAAATCCATGCCACACCATTATTTGGAAATGTTAAGAAGGAAAATAACAGCTCTCCAAAGGCCAACATAGGACTAAATATGTTCTCATCTAATCAGTCTTGTTTGCCTTCTGGCTTTGAAAATCCACGGGAGAGAAAAACTTTTTATGGTTCTGGCACCATTGATGCCCTTTCTGCCCCGATAGTGAATAAGGCTTTTAGTAAAACAGAGGATAATGGCCAAAGGGAAGAGAGTAGCCTGCCTACTTTTAAAACTGCAAAGGAACAATTATGGATAGATCAGCAAAAAAAGTACCACCAACCCCAGCGTGCATCCGGGTCTTCCTATGGTGGTGTAAAGAAGTCTCTGGGAGCTAGTAGGTCCCGAGGAATATTTGGGAAGTTCGTTCCTCCTGTACCTAAGCCAGATGGGGGAGATCAGAATGGGGGAATGCAGTATAAGGCTTACGGTGCAGGAGCTGCGGAGCCAGCACATCCAGTTGATGAGCGGCTGAAGAACTTGGAGCCAAAGATGATTGAACTTATCATGAATGAGATTATGGACCATGGACCGCCCATAAGCTGGGACGATATCGCAGGAGTAGAATTTGCCAAAGCCACAATAAAGGAGATAGTCGTGTGGCCCATGATGAGGCCAGACATCTTTACGGGTTTACGAGGACCCCCTAAAGGAATTCTGCTCTTCGGGCCCCCCGGGACTGGTAAAACTCTAATTGGCAAGTGCATTGCTAGTCAGTCTGGGGCAACGTTCTTCAGTATCTCTGCTTCTTCTTTGACGTCTAAGTGGGTAGGTGAGGGGGAGAAAATGGTCCGTGCATTGTTTGCCGTGGCAAGGTGTCAGCAGCCGGCTGTGATATTCATTGATGAAATCGATTCCCTGTTATCTCAACGAGGAGATGGTGAGCACGAATCTTCTAGAAGGATAAAAACGGAATTTCTAGTGCAGTTAGATGGAGCAACCACATCTTCTGAAGATCGGATTCTAGTGGTGGGAGCAACCAATCGGCCCCAAGAAATTGATGAGGCTGCCCGGAGAAGGTTGGTCAAAAGGCTTTATATTCCACTCCCAGAAGCTGCGGCTAGGAAACAGATTGTGATTAATCTGATGTCCAAGGAGCAGTGCTGCCTCAGTGAGGAGGAAATTGCCCTCGTTGTAAGGCAGACCAATGGGTTCTCGGGAGCTGACATGACACAGCTTTGCAGAGAGGCGTCTCTCGGGCCTATTCGCAGTTTACAAACTGTTGACATCGCCACGGTAACACCCGATCAAGTTCGACCAATAGCTTATGTTGATTTTGAGAACGCCTTCAGAACCGTGCGGCCTAGTGTGTCTCCTAAAGATTTAGAGCTTTATGAGAACTGGAACAGAACTTTTGGTTGCGGGAAGTGAAGGGGACACACGGGACACTTGAAATCTAAAGATGGCATCTTTGTAATGCAGCCTTTCCCACTTTTTAGCATGGGAAACTGGGAATTTATTAATTGTACTTTTACAGTGTATATTTTGAATTCTATAGCTCAAATAAAATAGAGTAACAGTAGCTTACATTTTACAATCGATTGACTTAGCCTGTGTTAACAGAAGCTTGAGTTTTCTTCCAGGTGTTACCTGATTGTGAGCCTGTTCCTACAAAACGTGAATGAACGTTTTTCTCGGGTTTCAAAGCAGTCTTTGTTTTCAAGATGTACAATAGGATGACTAGTGAGCTCAGATTGAAACCAGAAAATCTCATTTGTGTCTGTGGTGGCATCTGATCGGTATGCCCCTTCCGCTGAAGAAAGGGTCTTTTCTGAAGACCCATGTAACTCTTAGCATTGGCCAGTGTCGTGGTTTATGCTCAGGCAGCTTACTTGCCGTTGAATGGATTTACCACCTCCCCAGACGCCAGAAGGAAAGTGCCAGTGGTTGGTTGTGGTTTGTAACTGCTTACAGCTTTCTTGTGTTACTTCTGCGTTCAGAAGTAGCCAGGTGTAATCTGATACCAGACACATATCCACAGAATCGAGTGATGAAGAATGCTGTTTTGCCAGGGGGTAGATGATGTTTAAAATTAATATTTTAGGGGCGCCTGGGTGGCTCAGTCGTTAAGTGTCTGCCTTCGGCTCAGGTCATGGTCCCAGGGTCCTGGGATCGAGCCCCGCATCGGGCTCCCTGCTCGGCGGGAAGCCTGCTTCTCCCTCTCCCACTCCCCCTGCTTGTGTTCCCTCTCTCGCTGTCTCTATCTCTGTTGAAAAATAAATAAAATGTTTAAAAAAAATTAAATTAAATTAATATTTTATTTGACACTAATTCACAGCCCGTAGCGTTGGTCTCTCAAACATAAGTTTTCAGATTTTTATAGTGGATCATTGTGTTTTACAAGGTAACAGGTGTTCATTGTAGAAGAGTTGGGGAAGAGACGAACAGCAAGAAGAGAGTAAAAACCGCTGTCGCCCTGCCACTTTGGAGAAGGCAGAGTCATTTCTTCCAGGCCTTTTGCACAGCAGAGGGATTGCACCACGTTCTCCCCTGTAGCCTGCTTTTTCCTTTACGTCACCATCGCTTCCCATGGGAACATGCTGTGTTACCACATCTTCCCTCAGGATCCCACCATGCAGATGGACCGTAGTTTAGCCAGTCCTCTTGGGGGCATTTAGGGCAGCACATTAGGTGGTTTCCCTTTTGTTCATTGTACACAAAAACACATTGAATGCCTTCGTGATCTTTTTAAAAAACACATTTCTTGAGTAAAATGCATTAAAGATGCACAATTTTAAGGCCTTTGGCATGTGTTCTGAACTGTCTGCTGGAAAAGTCGTGCATATGTAGAATTCCCACCCTCACTGAGCCACAGTCCCCGTTTTCTGTGTCACCGGCGACCATCACGCGGTTTTGTTAGCATTCCTCTTTCATTCAAACAGTACTGGATTCCGGACGGTGTTCCAGGGGCTGAAGGCAGAGCAGTGAACAGCAGACCAAAATCCTGGGTCTCAGGTAGGTGACATTCAAGTTCTCAGGTTTTCTCTTGACCGGGCTCTTGAGGAGAGGGCGTTTGACGCTTTGGATAGGTGAGTTGAGACCGTTGTCTTAACTTTTATTCTTGGCCCTCCTAGATTTTTGCTCCTTGAACAGCTTTGCTTTTGCCACTGTTACTTCTTCCCTTTGAAACATGTCATTGCCTTTTGTTAGAATTTGGACATCTCTAGTTTTTAGTTAAATCTTTTAAAATCGTAAAGCATTTCACACATTACTTTGTCCTGTTTCATTTCTGCATGAACAGCACTATCAGTAACCTTGGATTCCTCAGTATTTCTACATTTTCTTCCCTGATACTTACTAATCCTCCTCCAGCCCCCCGCCCCCCTTGGGTGTTACAGTTACGGCAGCCGACCAGATACATCATCAGCAGTTGTCCAGGAGGTGTTCGAGTCTTACTTCGCTCTGTAGCTTGGTCTCACTGTTTACCGCCAGTGTTTTTCTCGGCAGCCGCTCCCGACACTCAGCTCCCTTGGTCACCAGCCACGGGGCCACTTTCCTTGAGCGGAATTCAGCTTAGCCTTTGTCCAAGAGGAAATACCCAGGGTGGCCCAGCTCACCTTGGATCAGGCAGAGCCCGTGTCTCTGTGAACTCGCTTCTCCCGAGGTGAGGTCTGCACTGTTCATGTGAGAAACTGATCTTGAAGGATACAGCAGATACTTTGAAGCTGGAAAGAAAGTTTGAGCTGGAGAGTCACTTGGGAGTTGTTTCTGCCTTCTCCCTCATGGAAGCGTTCTTTCTCTCAGCCTTCTGTGACTTGGAGTATGTTTCTGAGGCCTCTGGCTGGGAAACTTCCAGAAACTTAGATGAGATTTCTTTTTATCTCCACATTCTGATTGGATATGAAAATCTGGGATCAAATTCTCTCCTCCTGAGGGTTTTCTTGGGGCTGCTCTGTGTCCACCATTGTGTCACTGGAGACGTGGTCTCTAACCTGGTCTGTCGTATCTTCAGGGGATCCGTTTACGTCGTAGACACACACACCTTGTGCCAATGCTCGAGCTCGCTTGTGTATCCATGCCTACAAATGTTGGCAGGAAAACAGTAGAGTCTTTAATATCAGTCCTTTTTAAATGTATGTATCATAGAGCTGATTTCATTTCATGTGTATTTGGGAAATTGTCTTCCAGTCTGTGTCTCTTCCCATTTTGAAATTCTAATTCATTTCCTCAACTCTAAACCTCTGTAAAGTCCGCCTCCACACTGAACCCTGATGAGCGGCGTCCTGGTAAAGTTTGCGCCTGGGCTTTGGGGCCCGCTCCATGGGCCGTGGACATGTTCAGCCTCACTTCTAATGGGAGAATGTCTGCACCTGCCTTGTTGGGGAGTGAGGGTAAGATGCAGGTGTAAAAAGCCTGGCTCGTGATGGCTCAAACATGGTGCATCCTTCTGTCTGCCTTGACTCTGCTTTAATTGCCTTGAAGGATCATTTTCTTTTCAGCTGCTTGATGTGGCTGTCTACTCTAGCTTGTTCTGCTTACTATTTGTGATACTTGCCTTTGATTACAGATACTGTGTCATCTAAACTTAATGCAGTAAATCTAATTAAAAGAAATATCTTTTAGTTTTGTTTCTCTTTGAGACTGAAGGACTTTTTGATAGATCCCAGATTATGATTTTCACTTATTCCTCTTTAAGTCTTATTTATTGGTTTCCAGAATTTTTAAGGGACATTTATTGGTCCCCAGTGTTTTTAAGAGACATTTTAAAACCCACCTGCAGACATCTGATTGGAAGACAGGATTCTGTCCAGGTCCATGGCAAAGGGGCAGGTCAGATAAGGATACTTTTTTTTTTTCAAGTTTTTATTTAAATTTTAAACTTCCAGTCAGTTAACATGCAGTGTAATTTTAGTTTCGGGTGTACAATGTGGTGATTCAACACTTCCCTGTATCACCCGGTGCTCATCACGACAGGTGCCCTCCTTCATCCCCATCACCTGTTTCCCCATCCCCCACCCACCTCCCCTCTGGTGACCAGTGTGTTCTCTAGAGTCAAGAGTCTGTTTCTTGGTTTGTGTCTCTTAAAGATAAATTTTTTAACTTCACAGATACCTGGCCCTTGACCTCAAATCTGGAGTTGGTGGTGAGCAGGCCAGTGTGGGACAGCTGTTTAAAGTTTGCCCCAGGTGCCTGGCTGAAGGGGGCATCTTATGAGAATAGATGAGTCACCACTTTCAACTCTTGTCCCGAAATAAAACTTACCAATGGGCTTTATAAAATAGCAGTGACTAATCATGGACAGTTTGTAATACCCCCTCAGGCGACTGCTTTCTTAGCTCTAAGAGTCAGGATGTTGTATTCGATAATCCTGAAGACAAGCCCAGATCTGCTATTCTGTTACCAGTTACCAAATAGTTACCAATTTGACGAGTGCTTGCAGAGTACCCCGGGTGCTGGCACTGTGCTGAATACAAAAAAATACATAGTTCTCTAAATGTTACCTGTCTCAATGTTACTAATTTGGCTCATGATAGAAACTGGGAAGGAGCACCTGGGTGACTCAGTCAGTTAAGCGCCCGACTCTTGGTTTCAGCTCAGGATGTGATCTCGGGGTCATGAGATTGAGCCCCGTGTTGGGCTCCATGCTCAGCTCAGAGTCTGCTTGAGATTCTCTCTCCCTCTCCCTCTGTCCCTCCCACTCATACTCTTTCTCTCTCGCAAAATAAATCTAACCCCCCCCCCCCAAAACTAGGAAGACATGAAGGGAGAGCTTTGGTGAAAGTAAGTCAGCATAATGTACCACTGAATATATGAATCATGTAAGAAAAGGGGGAAGATTTTAAAAACTAGGAATTCCACATAGGGTGGCATTTCAGCTGTGGTTCAGGATGCACCAGACCCTGAGTACTTGGCCGGCTCAGGAGTCTTGGCAACCAGCAGGGTACCTATGACTGAGGGGGCCTGCCCAGCCCGAGAAGATCCTAGAGCTCTCCTCATCCATTCTTCCCAGAAAGTTAGAGACTCAGGCTAAAAATAGAGGAGTCTCCTCTTCCTGGGACACGGCCAGAGCAAGCATCCCGAAGAGCAGAGCCTGTTGCTCCTTGTCTGCCCTGGACGGGTGACAGGCATGCAGTCCCAGAGAGGGACTCATTCACTTGGGGTCCCATCCTTTGGGGTCAGAGTTGCTCCTTATGTTTGTATCTAAGATGTGCTGCCCACTTGCTTCTGGGAAAAAAACAAAAAACTACACCAGCTTCTTTTTCTCCCAGAACAAAATATCAGCTTAATAAGAAAAGGTCTTTTCATTTACAGTAGTGGACTAAGCCACACATTAACTTTTTCCACTTACATGTGCAGAATCTGCACTGAAAGGAAGAAATAAAAGGGTGCAGGGGAGGGGAGACACCGTTTTCAAATAAGACATCTGTGGTGTTTCTAGCAGTTACGGGGCAAATGGTGTTGAGTTGTCGAGACCCCTGAGCTGAGACCAGTGATCTAACAAGGGCGTGGGAGACCAGCTGAGGCTAGTTTCCTGGTGCCCTGGTGGTTCTGGAGCTCAGGTGGCAAAACCAGCTGTGGGCCAGGGGGCT